AATGAATTAAAGTATATTTATACTTCAAATGAATAAAATTATTGTTTATTATTCAAAAAAAATTTAAATAAAACATAACAGAACACTATTTTTTTTTTTTGAACAAAGTGACAAGGGTGGAATTCGAACTTCGAACCCACCAAGAAAAGAGAGAATTGTACTTTCAAGGTGATTCGAAAGCCATTTAGCACGAAGGATCAGGTACTAAAACACTATTTCTTTAGTATATATAACAAAACAAAAGTTTATCAAAAGTTACATTATTATTATATTATTTAACTTATATTTTATATATTTAAATTATTATTTTAAATCTACATTATAATTTTAAAAATGTATGTTAAAAGAAAAAAAGGAATTGAAAATATTAAAAAAAAATTGCCAACGTTGATCCATCCAACAGCTTGAAACGTAGCCGTTGGATCAACAAGATATAGGAATGTTGAAGAAAAAATAAAAAGACTTGAAACTAAAAAATAAAAATAAGAAAAAAAAAACCTCAGGGGAGCCAAGCAGCCAATAAACGACTCTCTCCAATGGGGGAATAAATTTGACAAGACGGGCAGATGACACGTTTCAGCCATGTGTCAGCCATGCACTGATAAAACTTCCAAAGATAACGTTATTACTATTGCTCTCTTTTTCTCTCCTTTCCCTTGTTATTGACCTTTCGTATCGACGATCTGTGATTTTGACAAGAAGCCCTCGGGCTTTCGCGTTTTGCTGTTTGAGTTGTTGGGCCTCCCGGCCGCTCAAGTATAGTGGAGCAGACTATGTGCTCCGAGCTTCGATGGCCACCGTGGCCTATCGGTTCTATAGCCCCTCTAGTGGCTTTGTTTTTTGTTTTGTGTGGGTTTTTTGGTTTGTTTGTTTGCTTGTTTGTTTGTGTATATGTTGATTTGCTTTGTTTGTTTGCTGTTTCTTGTTTTGTTAGGTGTAGATCCGGCGGCCTTCTTTCTCCTTTGGTGGATCTGTGGCAGCGCGCGCGAGAACTGCTAGATCTGACACCCATTGCGGCTCTCCTACTAGTTTCGAGGATTGCCGCCACCTGATGGGTTACCACCCCAGCATCCTGGAGCCTGGCGCAATTTCTTCAAGGGTAGATAGAAGGGTGTCCCGTATGGATCGGTCGACCGAAGGCCGTGGTATATTTTGGGTCATTCGTGGTTGTTCGAGTGCTGAGTGCA